CGATCCCGCACAGTGCTCAGTACATCACTGAGGGCAAAACGGCCTCACCGGCCCGGCAGTCAGCATGACGCCACCATTGGCTTTTTGACTTCTGCTTTGAAGGCTCCATTTCGTCTTTGCCATCTTGTGGTATTTTGCATCTTATGAACAGAAGGGATATTCTATGTGTATGTATGGAGGAGTGCATAGAGACGCCTCTGGTAGCAGCAGCGACCAGTCAATCCCAGCAGCCCCGCCCGAAGCATAATCTGCTTTACTTTAATTCAATTCATTTTATTTTGTAGCCCAAAATTGAAAATTACAAATTTGCCTCAGAGGACACTCCGTGCACATGCGATTTCAGGTCTTCATTGTGGTTAACAGCAGACAGGCTTCCAGAAATCTGAATTCATTGGCCCCTGGGAATGAATATTCAGACCAATAATTTACTAACAAACTAACACAATACCACCAACTTCTGTAGCAGAATGGACCATGCGCTTAGTCAACTGAATTAACATAAAAGCCCTGTATTAACAATAACCCCTCAAATGCCAGTGTTCCCCATAGGTCAACAGGGCCAAGGGGGTGGGTTTCCCCTACCAATACAACAGTAGCAGGAAACACTGCATGTTACATGACGTGTTAAAGGCTGGGAGCAGGGATCACAGGCAGTAGCAGCAGTGGTGACCTTAATGAGCTGCACGGTAGGAGTGCAGCAACCGGCCCGGTCCTGGTGTCAACAACTCGCCATTTGCCAAACTGCAGCCACCTGCGAGCGATCAGACCCCGTCGTCTCCTCCACCCGTGCTGGTGGAACATCCGCGCCCCCCCCCCGCCCCCCCCTGCCCGGCCAACAGCACCCCTCGTTGGGCGGAGTCACCACCACCGATCGAGTGTCAGGTGGTCAGCCAACAGGCACAAATGGTCACGACCCCGGTGACCTGAGCACAGGGCGCCGCTGAAGGCAGCTGGAGTTACTCACTCTCGTGAATCATCGGCCTTGCATTGCTGACCTGGATCCAGTTTGTTATTTTTTACCGTCCCATACGGCCGAGGGGGAAGAAAATAAAAAAAAAGGAGTCTGACTCACTCTATATTTTGACCTCAGCAGCTGTGAATGGATCGAGATGATTAAGCAGTAATGATGGTGGCAGTCAGTGAAAATGAAGACCGGCTTAATATGATCGGATCTGATTCCCAATTCGGTTTCAATGAGGCACTTTTCATTTCTCCTCCCTCCCATCATTTGCAATCCTTCAAAAAGGCTCCTTTTTCATCTAAAATGAATAGAGGAAAGACTAGATCTTCAGGCACAGCAGCTGGTGGGCTATTAAGGAACACAACCACCTCTAGTTCCCGTTTCACAGCACCTGGTTGTGTGGCACACCGGATGATGGCCCCCCTCTTGCAGCCTGGTGCGCGAGAACAGTGGTGCATGATTTGTCAACTCCATCATCACCATCAATAAATTGTGAGGCCGTTTTTCTATGGTCTTCCTTTTGTGCGTGTGACAAAAAGGAAGCATTGTATCCTCACATCACCGGGGACGCCGTCCCCCCGTCTGCTCTCACATGGTCCTTCCCAGTTCACTCTGCTGCCGTCTAACGCTTGATATTTGTTTTGGGGAAAATCAGTCACAAAGCCGAGCAGCAATCTTGTCATCTCGGTCACCTTCAGACAAAAGCTGGCTAACAATTAAATCAATCATCAAAACAGAGTAGTCAATCGATTGACAAATTGATTATTCAGCCAATCAATGTTGCTTTGTCACATGACACATATGACTAATAATTACTACCGTAGCCTATTTTTGTACCCTATATTTTTAGTTGTCAAGAGAAACATTTGAATCACAAATGATCTCCAGCAAAGCACTAACAGCACTGTAGCAGCGTTCCTTCGGTGACATTTCTAAGCCGCAATTGAGCTGCAAACACAGAGTTCATTTTATTAACGCGAATGACAGGAGATCTTTAAGTTCTTTTTGTGTGGTGTTTATTTCACGCAGCAAAAGAGTCAACTAAACACACAAAAAACACATTCCGTCACACGGTGGAAAAACTGTTCCAGTGGCTAATGCAGCTCATCTCAGCTGCACCTGCTGCAAACATGACGTCAATATAAACGTGAGCGTCAATCCAACATATATACCTGTCGGAAACGGAAGGAATCCTGGGCTCAGCTCCACCACCAAGAAGCCTCAGCAGAGGTTGTTCTACCTGAGGCAGCTGAAGAGATTCAACCTGCCAAAGACGATGATGGTGCTCTTCTGCACGGCCACCATCGAGTCCATCCTCTGCTCCTCCATCACCGTCTGGTACGCTGCAGCCACAGCCAAGGACAAGGGCAGGCTGCAGCGCGTCATCCGCTCTGCAGAGAGGGTGACACGCTGCAGCCTGCCGTCCCTGCAGGACTTGTTCGCTTCCAGGACCCTGAAGCGAGCTAAAAAGCCGACCCCTCTCACCCCGGACAAACAGTTTGTGCCCCTTCCATCTGGCAGGAGGCCATCAGGACTAAGACCTCCCGCCACACCAACAGTTTCTTCTCGTCGGCAGTCTGGTTCATCGACAGAGCCATTGACGTTCCACCGGTCACTTTCCGTTCGCTGGTGCACTTTATTTTCAAGCCTTTATTTTTAAACTAACCCATAGCATTATTTTTTATTTTACTCCTTGTGCACTGTTGTCTTGTTGTCCATTGTCGTACTGTCTGCTGTTACGCACTAACTGCCAAGTCAAAGTCTGTGTATGTCTGACATATTATGGCAATAAATGATTCCTGATTCTTGAGTCAATATATGGCACGTGTTCAGCTCCTGGACAACATGGACCAATCAAAAAACGAATAATTGGCATTTCAGAAACTTCAATTAACCCATACAAACACTTCGGACTCACACTAACCCGAAGAGTCTTAAAGTAATTAGCGTGAATCAGTTCCACCCAATGAGATAATTGGGCAGAGACGTTGGTCATCAGGGAACACGTCTTCTCTGACAACATGTAAGAACTCATCTCTGCTTTAATATGTCATTCTTCATACAAACTACAGACGTTAATTGCACATAAATTCCCCCTCAGACCATTAGTGACTGAGCTGGATGACCATTGGATCAGAGAACTGCTCCGAGGGGGGTCCGGCTTACAAGCAAGCGCATCAGACAGAGACGAAAGCCCCAATGGAAACGTTTCATTCCTTTCCTCTATCCGCAACGTTCTGGTCCTGATTAACAGAGCCCAAGCTCAAGGCCCAAAGCACGAAGCCTGAAAGCAGATCAGATCCAACGGCGCGTCTATCGCTGGCGAGGGAAAAGGGACTATTAACCAGCCGCATCAAAAGGACACATCACACAGGGGAACAGGGGCGAGGGAGAGGAGAAGCCTGGTAGTGGCGAGGGGGGACACAGCCCTGAGCTCCTTTGCAATCATTCTTTTAAAAAAAAAAGATAAAAACCGACTGCAACATTGTGAGTGCACAAGGGAACTGTGATCAAACGGCAGTCGGGAGAAAGGCTGGTAACTACGTCGCTTTTATCTTCCCGAGCGCTGGACAACCTCGAGGTGACTTTAGTGTGACCGCTGAAAGCTCCTTCTGCACTTTGCAAATGTCTGTTTGCAAAAAGGAAAAGAAAAAAGCAGGTTCAAACTCCAGCCTGTTGTACAAAAATGACAGTGTGGCAAAGACGACACACGGCAGAGGGTTCCCCTTCCACAGATGAGGCGGCGGGACATACACGTAAGACCAAATATTACCCGACCTTTCACATATTGCATCACCAGAGTTCCTGCTCGACACACGCGCACACACAGCCATCCAAATAGCTAGTTTGCATGACGCTGCCAGCCGGAAAGCAACGGGTGAAGCGGTAGAACAAGGACAGCGGCGTATGAGTACGTTTCCTCCTTGGCAGGCCACGTAAGGCGCTCAGACAGCGACGTGCGGGACTCTGCACCCGGCCGGACCTCTCAGGCCTCCCGCTTTTATTCAACAGACAAGACACCGACACTTTAATCCACACTGCCTGGTCTCAGAATAATCATTGACATGCTCCCTGTGATGCAATGGAGAAGTGGGTCATGGCAATAGTCTCTTGGAGTTAAAAAAAAAAAAGGAGGTTATGACGATATCTGCCAGAAGTCCCACTGAAGTGAGAATAGGCGATGTGATATCGCAGGTCGGGGCCCAGCTTGGTTTGACTCAGGCGAGCTGAAAGACAGCATGAGCATGTCATATATACAAAAATGAATGCGTGCAAAATCAGACTCTTTTTTTTGCCAGGTCTCACGACTCATCTGCTGGCAGCCCAGTCTGCCAATCTGATTCTGATCCAGTCAGCTGCTGGCCGGGCTGCGAAATAACTAACCAAACAGTTTCATTCAAATCAGCAATGTGTACTTCAAGCAGTCACTTTCAAGGCCACGCGCAGTCTGCGTGCTGGATATTATAACGCAGATATAAACACAGATGCAACACACGCCGGTTGAACTTCATAACACGGATCGCCGGCTAAAGTCCCACGGAACCACCGAATAGGATCAAAGCACTGAACAGAAGGACGAGCCCGTGGTCCGTGGCGGCGTGCGGAGGCGGAGAGCCGAGGGGACCCGCGGGTACACAAAGGGCGGAGCGCCGTGTCAGAGGGGCTCCTGCCGGCTGCCCCGCTGCTGCTGCTGCGGCTCCTTTTCCGGGTTCAACCCGCGTCAGATAAAGGCTGTCACCATTGTGCGCGTTTGCTCTTCCCGCCCCCCCCCCCCTCCTTTCTTCTCCACTGGCTGTTACTACGGTTTAATGAACGACAATGGAGGAGGGGGGGGTACAGCAATACCCAAACATACACTAAACTCAGTGAGTAACCACGCGGTTGGAATTTGCACACAAAAAATGTAGGTTTCCTCCACATGTTTGGAAAGACAATGCAACCGATACTGAATGCGTGTGGGGGCATTTCTTGACAAACAACGCAAAGAAGCTAGTTGTGTGTGTGTGCGTGCGTGCACGCGCGTGTAACCCGGACTCACCAGGGGTCAAACTCGTGAATGATGCTCTCGAAGCGAATGACAGCGAAGAGCCGGGCGCTGAAGCCGGCCAGCCAGGCCAGGAACAGGATGGTGAAGGACAGCAGGGACTGCCACCCGGCCGGCTGCGACAGGCCGCCGGACAGACCTCCCCCTCCGGCCGGCCCGGCGTCGCTGCCTGGGTCCGCCACCGCCGCGCTGCTGCGTCCGTTCCCCGAGTACGACGCTCCGGAGGTCAGCGCCGATTTGTGTTTGTTGTCCGAGGCCGGGTGATGCTCCGCCATGTTATACGTCAGTCCCGTCTCCAACCTTTTTTTTCCCTTTCTCGCTGCCACGCTCCTCCTCCGAAACGACTTGCACCACCTTCCCTTCTAGCCCCCGTCACCCGTCCCCCCCCCTCGCCCCCAGGCCCCGAAACGGCCGGCTGTAACCGCAAACTTTAGAGTCTTACTTCCCACCAAACGCAAAAGCAGCTAAAATAATCCCGAGAAGTCACATAGCCGCGCAGGTCTGCAGCATTCTCGAAGTGTCACACGCGACTCGGGCAGTTCCTCCTTCCTCCTCGGGAGCTGCGCGAAGAGAGAGAGACAGGTACTACCAGGAAGTAGTGAGACACGGCGTCGGGGGGAAACCAATCACGCGGAAGAGCGCGTATGACAGACAACTCGAACAGCCAATGACAGAGCAGACATGTGACGCGGAGGACGCTGTGAGGCGAAGGCGTCGTGACGGACAGATGCAACAGCCTATTGCAGCCGAACAGCACAGGGGTGCTGGAGTTTGGTGAGCCAATGAAATAAATGAATTTTACTCGCGCTGTATCGAAAGGGCCATCGTAAGTATGACAGGGCTCAGCAGTGGGTTCAGGCTCTGAATAAATGCCAGTAGTTACTCCCCGACACCGGAAGTAGGAGCTGTAATTCCCTAATGAACAAACACTTTGCATAGATGTCAACAACGAGCCATTTATCGAGCATTTCAACAAACTCAAAGGGGTGAAACTACTAATATTTGTTATTGGTCAATAACCAATCAGCTACAGCTCAAGTCAGTCCAGCAATTTTGAATTGGACTTACTGAAAGTTAGAGGACTATATATATACACAATCAACCCCCTACCCCGCCCTCCTTCCTTTGTTGGTGTATTAGTAACCACTAGGTACAATATTTATAAAGTTTTTGTTGTAAGTAGTTGTAAGTCGTTAATTGGGATTTTGGGAAAATGTATTTTTTAATTTGAGTTGTAACATATATTGAAAAGCATTTGTGTTAGATTTACGCTGTCTTTTGTCTTGCTTTATTGACATCATGATTGCAGCAGGTGCAACACAGAAGTGCTGCATTAGGCACAAGAACACAGTTTTTCTACCGTGTGACAGAATTCGTTATTTGTTCATTTAATAACAAATAATAAATTACACGCTTTGCTGCATAAAATAAAGACAAAAAAAATAATTAAACAAATTCCTGTCATTGGCAAAATGAAGTCACTGTGTCTGATGCTAAACTGAGAAACGGCACCTAGAACGCCGCTACAGTGACCTATCAAAAACCTGCACCCTATGTGTATTTGTTGCTCACTAGTTAAATCCACTGATTAAATCCATGACATGTTCTGTTCCATTTCATTCTATTCCTTCACTTGGACTCTCTCAAGCATTTTGGGAAATCTCGACCATTACTTTAGGCCTCTCCATCCTCACCGAAAGAAGACCAGGAGAGGCAAAGGACTGACATGACAGGAGCTCAGCTGCTTGGGGAGGAGCTGGATGAGCTTGATCATTCATCTACGACCTGCTGAGCCAACAGGAAGGCTGTGTGAGCGCAGAGAAATGTTTGGAGTCTGCAATGAGTCCAACGTGCATGAGTAGGTAGAAAATAAATGTACCTAGAGGATGCCAACATACATTCTTGTATCCACTTTGCTTTTAAGAGCATTGGAAATAATGTGTTATTCTGTTAACTTTTCATGATCTTCCCTTTGGAAATCTTTCCTCTAGAACAGCAAACATGTGCAGATCGGCTCAGGGTTTACAGCTTCCTTTGACGTGCTTGATCTCATATTCTGATTGGAAGACTGTGTGGTTTAGTTAGCCTAAACGGTCTTCCTGTGTGTGTGTGTGTGTGTGTGTGTGTGTGTGTGTGTGTGTGTGTGAACATTTACGGTGTCCGTCCCATCTGTGGATGCAGGTTGTCTCTGGGATGGAGGCTGATTGCACAAACGCTGTAATGTAAAAGCATTATGAACTTCTAATAAAAAATGTTTACACGTCCTTCGTTTGTAAAAAAAAAACGGGTGATGTGCACCCACAAGCAAGAGATGGGTGTGACAAAGGTAAACATGCACTTATATTAATTTGCAAAGTGTATTTTGTTGATATGGTTCTTGGTGAATACAACATACATCTAAAACATCTAAAACATACTTTTGTCAAAAATATCACAAGGATAATTTTTGACGGCACCCTTTTCAGCCTACCTACCGTTTTGGGTCTTAATGCTACTGAGGCCCGGTCGCCCATGGTGCGGAGCTTGGTGTTGGGGACCCAGAGGAGCTGCTTGCAGATCTGAGGGTGCGGGTGGAGGTTTGGGGAGTCAGTAGCTTTGCAGATATGGAGTTGCATGTCCATTTATGCATTTATGAATGAGTAGTAAAACTCTGTAGTCAATCCGGAACATGGAGCCAGTGCAGTGAGTGGAGGATGAGTGTTATGTGCTCATATTTCCGGATTCTCATCCAGTGACATGCAGTCAGGTTAGGCAATGTAGGCACCCTCCCAAAATTAAAACATAAAAATGTTAATTAAAGTTTTATATGTTTTTTTACTGTTTAGTCTTAGAATTATGTATGCAATATGTGTGTTATTTCAATTTTCCAGACATTACGATGACAAATGTAGCCGTTACACATAACCAAATACAAAGAAATGGTAGAAGAGCTGCTTTTTACCGTCCGCCCAGTGCGGACGACAAGCGAAAAACCCATGTTGCGCATGCGCCCTTCGATGCCCTGTATTCTTCAACATGTAAGGCGAAAAGCACAACCCTGCTGTGCCTTTGCACGTAAATAGGTTATGCAAGTAATCATCTACAGCTACAGTATGTTGTAAGCGTAAAACCAGCGAAAGTCAAAGTCAAAATGACAGCAGCGGATTTCTTCACAATTAGGTGAGCAGTGCGTGTTTTCATTGATGCTGATTGGCAAACATGATTGGCCGCTGTGCAGCTTATTAGTATGAATTTGATATGGGAATACTTGAAAAAAGTAGTTTTTTCCAGCGTTTGGGGGTTGGTACACATGCCTCACAGCCACAGCCCGTTTTTGCATCTCTCAACCGTAAATATCCTGTTTTCATGTTTTTCTGTTAAAAAGCAGGTTAAAGTTACGAACGTTAGACTGCATTTATAAGCATATGGAGAAAGTAACCCAATGTGTTCATTTTGCATAATGTGGTGTAAATGAAAGTAACACCAAAGCTAGAATGGTTTCAGGTCTCACATCGGCTGGTCGATCTTCTGGGTTTTGAAACTATATTATTACAACGCAGGCCCAAGCGTTACCCCAAATCGCGCCTTTGTCTTTGTTGAGTTAATAAACCTGCTGAAACCATAGCATGAGGTTAGGAATTAATGAAGTGTTGGAGAGTGACATTTGCGGCTAATAAGTCAAAGTGATTAATCTGTGATTTCCATTCTTCTCTGGAGGGGAGGTCGGAAGCTGCCGAATCGGCAACCATCTTAATGCTGAAACTGGTGAGGCAGTTTGTGGTGAGCTGTGTTCCTGCCGCTGGTACACCACCGTAGTTCAACGGTGTGATAAAGCTTGAGTTGTGGACTAGATAACTCTGCCTGGGGGGGAAGAAGCTGAAACTCACTATGCAAAGGATGGGAGTGCTCTTTTCAGTTGGACCGGTTCATTTTTGCAAATGTGTGGCAAACAGGCACTGCAGGGTTCAACTCCACCCAACTGCCTTTCTGTGTGGAGTCTGCATGTTCTCACCGTGTCAGATAAGTATGAATTTGCAGTTTGTTGTGGCTGCCTGGATCAGTATTATTTTTTACACCGATTGTCATCTCTCACAGATATTCAAGCTGTCTCTCTCTGCATTAAACAAGGTCTTTTAGGCACTTAAACTGAAACGTTGTTATGCTTGTACGTATCTGTAGCCAACAGCCTGCAGTGCTCTGCTCGTCCTCTGAATGCTCTGCAGGAACTCGTGAAGAGGCTTTGCGCTCCGTGCAGAATCCTGAACGTAGGGACGGTAAATCATTGTCATTTTCCTCACAAGGTGCCGTCCGCTCCGTTTCCTTTTTTTCTAGCTTCTCGCTATGAATTGTGGGTAACTCCCTGATACAAAAAGTGTTCATCAAGGGCTCAAAAATCTGAGGGAGAGTCCGTTGAATATTCATTCCTTTTCTTCCCTTTTTCTTCCCTCAGTGATCAGGATCCATTGGACTCTAAAGGATTCCAGTGTGAACAGATGGATGTGTCACGAATACTTACTTTGGTAGGCGACAGTTACAATAAAAGATGGTCTTAAATAGTATAACAAATGTATGAGATTAGACCCTATTTGTGCACACAGCAATCGTTCTTCTATAAATGTTTTCAAATGCAACAAAGAGCAAGTACAGCACAACTTCATTACAGAACATTTTCACTTTGATGGTTGCAATTACCAAAAGAACAATAAGTCCCCTGCTGGTATATTTCCTGTGATGTGTCCTCTGTTACATCTGTGTGTTTGTTTGCCTCTTTATCCTTTGGATAATAATCTCATTAATCCCCCCCCGCATGAACATTCAGGCTTTCTTTTTTGATGCATTAAAGCTTAGCGGTTGACAAAGTTAATGGAGGATGTACCATAAACTGACCCGATAGTGTTCAGAATGACCAGGGTCATCCATTAGTCAACTAAAGTTAGGAAGAGGAAGTGAGGAAAGGATGAACGGACAGATGGGAGAGTCTGGCTCTGAGTTTCCCTTCCACTTCATAATGTGGTTTGTGTATGATGAAACCATTTGAATGTAGATTTTTCGAATGAGTCGGAGACAACTGGAGGATTTGGAATATTCTGGATGCCATTTGTAATGGAGTTGTGTACCCAAACCCCAATTTAAGGTGAGTTAAAGAACATCCCACTAGTCAGCATTTTACCTTGAATGATAAAATATGTACAGTAAATATGTTATTAAACTTTTACAGAAACAGAAAAATGAAATTAGTTAGATGACGTGTTAGGTATTCAGCAATTTCATTAAATTGTGAAAGTAAACGCGCCTTTGAGACAATAACGATTCGCTGAAACTTTAAAGGGGACGTATGGTGCTAATTTTTATTCATGCCTGTACGTTGTTTTTTTAATAGACTATCTTAACGCGCTTTAATGTTCACAAGAACACATTCCTTTTCTCATACCGTCTGAGTATACTTGTATTCACCCCTTGTCTGAGCCGCCTTTCTCTCTAGCCCCGTTTACTAAGCAGCCAATTGTGGTCGATGGTTTTAGAGGAAAGATATGGTCCCCTTTGTAGTGCTCTTAAAGTTCTTAAGGTGCGGGTGAAGGTACTCAGGTGGGGGAGGCGAGGTCTTTCTATGAAAGGAGACAAATGATGCTCGTGTAGGACTCATACTCGTATTTAGGGTTTCCATGTTATTATACTTAATTTTTCGTGTGTTGTCTGTGTGAATATTCATCTTCTGTCTGAAACGTTCTGTTTTAGCGCCTTTTTCATTAAGGAGCCTCCCTTACAAACCACCCGATCTTCGTGGGAGTTTATTGGCCAGGTTGAGAAAACAGCCAGTTTCAAAATGATGATCCTGAAGTATTCCCCTTTTAGTAAGCTAAACAAAAACATTATAATAAAATTAAGAACAACTTTTAAGATTTATTTAATTATTTATGCCTACTTGGGGGCGGTGGAACATTTTGAAGTCATAACATTTCACATTCTGCTATAAAATTGGCATGTGTTAAGTCATTTTTAGCAAATATCGAGGTACATCAGCATTTGGAGTTCTGTTTCTGGCCCCCCAAAGATTATACGTCCAGTATTCACACTCCTCGTAGCTCATTGACCCCTAAAATGATCTGCCATTGTTGCTGACATTGTGTTCTGCTCGCTGCCAGACAAGTTGTGTGCAATGCATTTATCAGCCTGTTTGTTGAAGCCCTTTGAAAGAATGATCAATTGCTCCATAAAGATCAAGAAAAGTACATGTATCATGTAACATAAGAGACTCATGTAAAGCCTTGTATCTCTTAATCTCCAATAGACGCGATACTGTAACTGCAGTCCAGTTCTTCCTCCACCATGGCCATCTTGGGTGCTGGCTTTGATGATCACTCCTTAAGTGCCGACGACAGTTACGACCACCTCTTCACGGACACAGGGGACACCGTGGTCAAAGGCTTGTACTTCCAGCGCGCTCGGCTGCTCTGTGGGCCGGCGGCGACGTGGCGATGCCTCAACCCCTCTCAGCAGGCCGTCGTCAACGTGGGGGGAATTCGGTACGCCTTCCCCTGGACCACCCTGGAGGAGTTCCCCGAGAGCCGCCTGAGCCGCCTGCGCCTCTGCACCACCCTGAGGGAGATAGCTGAGTTCTGCGATGACTACGACGAGATGCAAAACGAGTTCTTCTTCGACCGCGACCCGTTGGCCTTCCGGGCCATCCTTAATTTTCTAGCCAAAGGGAAGTTACGTATTATGCAGGAGGTGTGCAACGTGGCCCTGCACTGCGAGCTGCTGTACTGGGGCATCGACGTGGAGCAGATGGAGCCATGCTGCGGCCACCGAGTGATTTACGCTGTGGAGGAAGTGGCGGCGCACCAACGCAAGGAGGAGGAGTGGCGTGAGAGGAGGAGGGCGTTGAGGACGCCGCTGGCGGGCCGCGGCTTTTTCCACATGTTTGGAGAAGCAGTGGAGAACCCTCACTCGGGTTGTGCGGGGAAAGTGCTGGCGTTCCTGTCCATCATCATGGTGGTGGTCACCGTGTGCACGCTGTGGATGGGCACCATGTCGGACCAACAACAGGAGGAGGCCATGGTGCGTTTAAACCAAAGTAATAGCGTGTATTGTCGGGTCAAACGTTGTACCAAGCACATTCCATCATTCCATGTCATTAAGATTTTCACTTTTGAAACTTTGAGGCCACCAACTGTCATGCAAATGAAAACTAAAAAGACGCAAAACTGGATGCAACACAATCAGCAGTGTGGATTTCAGCTGTAAGAAGCGGGAGGGACAGTGAGCCCCAGGACCAGCTTTTATGTTCAGGTCAGGCTAAATCAATCTGAGTCTCTCTTGTCAGCCAACATAACCTTATTCAAACTACAGTTTGTTACGGAAACTATTTATTGATTTAGCAAATCTCACTGTGGCTCAACAGGACAAAGATCAGAGTGATATTATATATTCCAGTTTTTAAGTTTAGAATGCTTGTCAGACAGGTATTATTTATTTATAACAGTTACAATCAGTAACTACAACCATGTTATAATAGCCTACTGCAACAAAACATTAAGAACAAATGTATTGGTTCTATATATCCATCCTTCCATCTTCAACCACTTATCCGGGGTCGGAGCTCCAGCAGGTGACCCCAAACTTCCCTTTCCCGGGCCACATCTACCAGCTCTGACAAGGGGATCACGAGGCGTTCCCAGGCCAGTGTAGAGATATAATCTCTACAACTAGTCCTTGGTCTTCCCTGGGGTCTCTTCCCAGCTGGCCGTGCCTGGAACACCTCCCTAGGGAGGCGCCCATGGGGCAACCAGATGCCCAAACCACCTCAACTGGCTCCTTTCGTTGCAAAGGAGCAGCGGCTCTACTCCGAGCTCCTCACAAATGGCTGAGCTTCTCTAAGGGAGACGCCAGCCAGTCTTTTGAGGAAACCCATTTCGGCCGCTTGTACCGTGACCTAGTTCTTTCTGTCATGACCCATCCTTCATGACCATAGGTGAGGGTAGGAACGAAGATTGACCGGTAGATCGAGAGCTTTGCCTTCCGGCTCAGCTCTCTTTTCGTCACAACAGTGCAGTAAAGCGAGTGCAATACCGCCCCCGCTGCATCGATTCTCCGGCCATACTCCATCTTCCCCTCACTTGTGAACAAGACCCTGAGGTACTCCTTCACTTGGGTTAAGGACACATTGCCTACCCACGGTTTTCTGCTGAGAAGCATGACCTCAGATTTAAAGGTTCTGATTTTCATCCCGACCGCTTCACACTCGACTGGGAAACGCTCCAGTGAGAGTTGGAGGTCACAGACAGAAGATGCCATCGGGACCACATCACTACAAACTACAAACAAGATTGGTGACAAGGCGCAGGCCAACCTCCACCGGAAACGCCTCTGCCTGCCGAGCACCCGATTGCAGCTCTCGCTTTGGGCGTACAGGGATTGGAAGGCCCCAAGTAGGGACCCCGACACCCCTCACCATGTACGCCTGTAGCATCCCCCACATTATCTCTGGTCTTCTCCAGGTCCACAAAACACATGTAGACTGGATGAGCATACTCCCAGGCCCTCTCCATGATTCTTGAAGAGTAAAGAGCTGGTCAGTCGTTACACGGCCAGGCCATTGTTCCTCTTCAATCCTTGGTTCGACCAACCAAGGATCGTATCGTCCGAACCCTCCTTTCTAGCACCTTAGAGTAGACTTTACCAGGGAAGCTGTGTAGTGTGATACCCCTGTAATTGGCACACACTCTCTGGTCCCCCTTTTTGAACAAAGGTACCACCACCCCGGTCTGCCACTCTTTTGGCACTGTCCCGGACTTCCACGCAATGTGGCGTGTCATCCAAGACAGCCCCCCAACACCCATTGCTTTCAGCATCTCTGGACGGATCGCATCAATCCCTGGGGGTTTGCCACTGCAGAGTTGTTTGACTACCTTAGTGACCTCCACCAGGCAAATTGACGATGATCCCTCCTCCGCCTCTACCAAAGAAGGCGTAGTAGTTTGGATTCAGGAGTTCTTAGTGTATATGCTTACCATACATAGAATTTGACTGATATATATATATAAATAAAAATATAAATATACATTTTTTAGTGAAACTCAAATGCATGCCTGTCAAACATCAGTGACATCTTCTTTTGTTGTTTCCACAGGGTAAGTGCTCCCAAAAGTGCCGCAACTTGTTCATGGTGGAGTCGGTTTGTGTTGCTTGGTTCTCCTTGGAGTTCCTGGTGCGATTTTTACACGCCGAGAGCAAGCTGGAGTTTGTCCAGGGCCCCCTGAACATCATCGATGCCGTCGCCATCTTACCCTACTACGTCTCACTGGTGTTGGACCTCAGAGATGAGTCCGTCGAGGACATCGTGGCCGGCGGGGGGAAGAGCAGCCTGGATAAACTGGGTCTGATCCTGCGCGTGATGAGGGCTCTGCGCGTCCTCTACGTGATCAGACTGGCCCGCCACTCACTGGGCCTGAAGACGTTGGGGCTGACAATCCAGCGTAGCGGGGCCGACTTCGGCCTGCTGCTGCTCTTCGTGTGCGTCGCCGTGGCCCTCTTCTCTCCTCTGGTGCATCTGGCTGAGAGCGAGCTGGCCCCCAACGCAGCCAGGTTGCCCCAGCTCAGCTTCAGCAGCATCCCAGCGTCGTACTGGTGGTCCATCATCTCGGTGACCACGGTGGGCTATGGCGACATGGTGCCCCGCAGCATCCCCGGCCAAATGGTGGCGCTGGTCAGCATCTTGTCGGGGATCCTCATCCTGTCTTTCCCCTCCACGTCCATCTTCCACACGTTCAACCGCACCTACAACGAGCTCAAGGAGGAGCACAAGAGGCTGTGGAAGGAGGAAAGGGGGGCAGAGCTCGCCAGCGTGGCCGAGGAAAGCATGAAGGAAAGAGAATCTTTTTCGGACAACTGGCCTGAAACGGATTCGTTACCGGTTCTAGATGATCCTTTTTACCTTTTCCTGGACGATATTAAGGTGCTGGCTCGGAGCAAGTCTCCAGCGACTTGTTGAGTCCAAAGAAATATGCTAAATTAGTCTGGTGGCTGATGGGTGGCAGCAAATTCTCCCAGATATGCTTCAACAGAGTAGAGTCTTCCCACGAGAGGGAGGTCTTTTATGGTTGGATGGTATTGATAATTTAACTTTAATATTGTAAACTGGCTGTAAATGGCCCATGACATCATAATTTTCAGGTTCACACTGTATTTGCATCTCTACTAGAACATGTTTACATTATTAAATGTTCCCCCTTTGTTTGAGACGCTTCATCTCTTTAGGAACCACTCTGATTGGTCAGCGGTTCTTTGCTTCTTTTGCTTCTTTGCTGAGGCAGTTTTTATGGAGCACCTAACCTGCCTTGCTTGACTGTGTTTGTAAGTAGAGGCTGGTTGACCACAGCGATAACTCCGTCATCGCTAGCCAGCTGCGACAGACAAAGACTGCGTGGGGACACACAACCAGGACATGGATGAAAACAGGGAACACTTTTGACAAAAACATTTAATCCAAAATGATTCATTGTGTGAAGTTTTGTGGGGCTTTTGACTTGGTCTTTCCTCAACACACTGATTGGGGGTTTCCCCTAGGTTCATAGGTGCATCTCATATATATATATATATATATATATATATATATATATATATATATATATATATATATATATATATATATATATATATATATATATATATATACACATGTTCTAATAGATGTTATAAAAATATATTTATATGTATATGTAATATATTTATCCCTTAACATAATACATTTATTATGATATTTATGATAATTATATTGTATATTTATACAGTTACAATATGGAAGTTATATCATTTACTGAATATTGTTTGGTATACAGTATATACATACTGAATATATATACTGAATTGTATGAAGATTCCTTATTTTGTTGGAATAAATGTTAAATATTTACTGAAAAGTAATAATACGCGTTTGATACCTTTTTTTTGCATTGAATCACCAGATGTTTACTGAAACTGGCTACCAAAAAAAAAAAATCCACCAGCTGCCACTGCCAAAAAGGCATGGTCATCTCAGTCTACGATGTGAGACCTATTAAAGGGGACATAGTATCCTCTTTATCATTTTATTTGTTTGTAGTATGTCATCGTAGAATGTTTATTTTAGAGTTGGAGAGTACAGCAAATTATGTCCCTTGTGAGAAGTTACGCTCTTCTCTAACAAATATTTCTACTTTGCAGCTCGTTGGTGTCTGTAGTAATGTACAGTATCATTCGCAGCAGTTTAATGCTGATTTCAAATGCTGTTTGATTTTCTAATGTATGAATGAATACATATATGTGAAAACTCAAGTGCTGTTTTGAAGGTTGTTTCAAAAGTGGGATATTTGTTGTGGATGCTCTCCATATATATAAATAAAATATTGTGTAAATATATTTATTTCACTAGTTTCACAGTCTTGTCCAGCGTTTTTGTCCTTGTTCCTAGATGATAATTATATTTCTGTCCATGTGTGACGAGAGATAGACGCAAATGTGATTCTGATTCTGACAAAAATAAACTTTGAAGCAGAAATGACTGGGCAGCAGTGGAACTGCGGTCTGGTTTGTGTCCACTAGAAGGCAGAAGTGCACTTCTTCTTTCGCAGTAGCCAAAGAATGGAGATGACACGTTCCCTCTGGAGAGGGAGGGACGTAAAGATCACACTCGACCACGTTAGTTTGGCTAAAATACTTGAAAAACATAAAGCTGTAATTGCACATCCACTGTCTCTGACAGACCTGGAAGTAACCTGCAGGACAAATGGTATACAGTGCCCTCTACTCTCTGTACCAGAGCTGGTGTTGTGGGCCCAGAAGGGCCTTGTTGCATTGGTCTGCAGGGGAATGTCGGATCCACACACACAATAAAACATCTATTTGCTTAGTTGATCGCCCTCATCCTTGATCTCTGATCTTGATCCCTGGCTCTCATCCTTGAGATCTTCAGAATACGGCATCTTCACAATCATTTTTAGGGCTTAACTTAAGAAACTGAATGATTTGACAGCCACGAATCTTGATGTCGCTTTCGATTCGTTCGGTTACCTCCGGTTCTGCCGAGTAAGGCCGATTGTCTTAAAAGTCCTGAATGAGGCTCCTACGTGTGTAAACAGAAGAACATCAGGTAAGTGAACCTGTAGTCTTCCCAGAAAGTGTTTTAAAGCTGCATAATTGGCTACCGACCAGCAGGGTGTAACTCTTCTGGTTTAAAAAGGAATGTGATTGTATAGAAGTCTACGAGGAAAGGACCGGCTCTCACTGGATTTATTCCCTCAGCAAACAGCGTAGTGAGTTCATGGTCTCTACTCCTGGAGTACTTCACACTGACCTCAACCCCACACAGTGTTTCAAAAATAACGTTTTCTTTTCTTAACAGGGAACGGTTCTGGCATCACTTGGAGTGAGTGGACAACATGGCCGGGGTGGTGCACTTCCTATGGAATTCCTACAGTAAAACTAAAACTGGATGGAGTAAGATGAAGAGAAAAAGGCGAGGAAGGAGGAGAGACGGCAACAGAACAAAAATAATGAGGGCGAAAAGAAACGAGCTGAGGAATGAGCAGACTTTGGACAAAAGTAATGCGAGACAGATGAGGGCCGAGGAACTGGACGAAGCAGAGAAGAAGAAGTTAGATGGGTAGCCGTGGCAGGACGAGGCTAAGCTTTGTATTTAACTACCCTGTAAGAAGTATATACAAAGTAAGAATGCTCAAAAGACACCACTGAATCAGTGAGTCACTTTGGATCTAATCTAATTCAAAAGTTTGCTGTTTTGTATTTAAATGACTGGTTAGTAGAGACAATGCAAGTTTTACGCCTAATGAAGACAAAAAAGAACACAAAGGAAAAACATGGAGGGGAGGAGTTTGAATGCGTCATTACTTGTTATGACTCATGAAGTCAGGTTAATAACGTACATATTTAAAGCCAAACCATCATGTTCTACCTGAGGTTAAGGTTTGATTCAAGTCAACTGCATGTTTTCTCCAACCAGTGCACCGAGTGTGTATGTACATGAGGGGGTGTGATGAAAAATGCTCTTGAAAAGACGAAGCCTAAATACTGATGCCGATGCATTCCAGCACGTTCATGTCACAATTTCAGCAGCAGCATCAAGTAGTTTATTTTGTGTGTTATTTGGAACGTGAGGAATATTTGATGAAAATGAAACATATTATCTGCCTGTTACAGTCATCGTTGTATCTTTTCCAGCTCAATTCCAGAACGAATGAGAGACAAATGTCAGTCTACAGAAATATCTTTAATTTCATAAAAAGATTTACAAATATTTTACATATGACACACATTGTATGAAAGGAAAGGCAACAGAGATCACACACCCAAAAATATGGAAACAACACAAAAGGTTGTTTTAAAAATCCATCTGTATGAAGTCTGTGGATTAGAAGTGGTAGGATGACGTTTCCTTTTGCTCTGGGCTGATACGTCTCTTATATACAGTCACTGTCTCTATTTACATTGTGCTTGTCTTCTGTGGCAAACAAGGTTTTAAGCATAGCTGGGTAAAAACACACATTCACATTCACACTCACACACACACACACACACACATTCCTTTGGACTCCTTGCTGGTTGCATATGGAGCCCACAGCATCGGTAGTGTTAAGGCCACATCTCCGCTGACACATTGGCTCAAAGTCAGAGACACTTTTGGACACGAGGAGTGTCTCACGGTAAAGTGCACGTTAAATGTCTTTGGTTTAGCAGTTGTTGCCCTGTGTGTTCCTCGTAAAGAGAGTGACCTTTTGTTCAGAGAGAAGCCTGTGAGTCTTAAATAAACAGTTTCTGTGAATATTTGGAGGCTTCCAGTTAACTTTGGCTTCAGCTGATTAAGGCAAGACGTTATGTGTTTAAAGGGGTCCAAAAGTGCCCCTCATAGCTTTTTTTTAACCTGTGTTAGGATACGATCTGTCGTGAGACATCCCCCACCTGCTGACTGGGATCTACGCCTCCAGCAGAATAAGTGCCCTTGTTGGGGGGGTCCCCCTCTCTCACTTCTCGTCGCTGACCGAGCTGTCGGCTGCGCTGACGTCCTGTATTTGGGAGATTTTCACCTCCTCCCCGGGGATCCCCACCTCCATGGGGATCTTCAGCTCGGCGGGGATCTTCTCCGCCGAGGAGCTGCGGCTGGACAGCTTGTCCATCTCGTCCTCCAGCTCCAAGATGCGCTCGGCGACGCAGAGGGCGGTGAGGCGCGCCTCTGGGTCGTGGTCCCAGCACTCCATGATGGTGCCGCAGATCTGTGCCAGGCCCTGTGAGGAGAGCAGGGGGGAGCAGGTGGGTTAGGGTGGCAGATTCTCAACCAACGTGTGTTTAACCGCCTGCACTACTGCTAGTACTACTGCTAGTACTACTGTGAGTACTACTGCAAACACTACTGCGAGTAGTGAGCACTACTGATAGTACTACACCAGAGCATCCTGCATGTGGGTTTCCTTCCTACTGATTTTTTAGAATTTCTAAATTTGCCAATATACTCAGTGGTCATGTTGCAATTACATGGAATTAAACTAAATGAGTCTGGGTGAAATAATCAGCACAGTATTTAAAGTGTACTTTTGGTACTCTAAGTGTCTAATGGGGATTTTTTTCCAATTTTTCAATTGGTTGAGGGAGAACCCTGCGGCGGTGTAATCGCTCAACGCCGTCATGTTCGACTACTAAACCCAACAGCGGAATAAAAGCTTTTTCTTTACTTTTGTTTCCATGTGCTCTGTTTGTTATTGTGCCATGTAACCGGTTGCCTAGAGCAACCGAAGCGTGGGTGAGAGTACAGAGAGCAGAGCGTAGAGATTTTCCATCCCACGGCAGAATATTTAGCCAATTTACACCACTCCAAGTTCCTGGACAACAGGTGGTGGTATGAAAAGTGACACATGCATGCGATGCCGTGAGAACAATGATGCTGCATGACACAAAATCATGTGAAAACTAAGATCAGAACTTTTCAGTCGATGTTCATTCTCAAAACACACATTATCGGCAGCCTGGATGCAGTGCTGAGTCTACAAAGTCTCGAGGGACGACCGCCCCAATAACAATGCTGATGAATGCGCGTTTGTGTCCGTGACTGCGTGAAGCGGCGGCTCGCGGCACGTCTCACCTTATGCCTCAGCCAGGTGTCCGGGATCTCGGGTCGTCCTCTGTCCCTCAGCACGCTGTCCTTCATGCTCTCCACGCAGGGGTGCTCTCGAACCTTGGAGCCATAGGCCGGCTCGTACTCCTTCACCTCTGCAGACACAGCAAACACAGCCAAATGTTTTACTTTAGGGTGAAAACTGAAATGCAAAAAGAGGAAGAATGAGAGAAACAGGTGAATGCCTCCGTGGGAGGGGCAACGCTAATCCAACTTCAGCCACAGCCTAACAAGCAATTAGTCCAAAAGCTCAGACTGTACAGAGCTGTGAAATAACAATCCTTCGTTTATGTTTTGACTATTTCATGTTGTGGAACTAGCAGGGCCAAGAAGAAGAAACGAAAAAAAGAGAGAGAGAGCGAGAGAGCATGACGTCAAAAACCATGAAAAATTCAAAACAAAGTTCCGGGATTGGGTCCAGACCTCATGAAACCGAGCTCACAACAGCTGCAGTCTGTTTTCAGCCTGCCGGAGAGAGGAGCGCTCTGGGTGCTCACAGCCAAACAGTCGGCCATGAAAATGATGGTCCAGTATCTAACAGATACCCGTCGTGTGCCCGTTATTTCCACATACTATTTCTATTTCTCCCCTCTTTTCCCCAAACTGTTGTTAACTGATATGTATTTGTATCTGCATTTCTCTGGGGATGTTAGTTAAAGAAATGTGGTCTTCCCCATCATGGGAAAGCATTATTGCACGAATACATGTCAGTAAACAGAAAGGTCCAACTCATGAGGCGGTGTTGCTATGGCGATAGCTCGTCGCTCACTTGTCAAGTTGTTGTTTTGGACATCAGAGGCGGAGACGAAATGGTCTCCAAAACGTCCTCCTACAGATGAGCGGGCAGGTCAGTTGCGGCTGTGGTCAGATTATTTTCTTATAGCTGGCCATAATCCGACTCATAGGCTGCCAATCAATTTCTGACAACACTTGTTTGTGTATACTACTTAGCGGAATGGAATAAGAAAATCTTGGAAAAGCTGCAATATTTTTATTTAAATGGTCTCCGTGTCCTCGGGAACACAGGAATCGGGAAGGTTGTGGTGGAACCCCCGGACAGGAAAGTGGAAGTCTGGGATTGGGACTATGTGCAGAGACGTTGACTCTACCAGCCCACACTTCCTGTTTTTAACATCTGGAACTTCCCCAACCGTTTTTAGTGCTTTAAAAGCGGACCCAGCAGGGCCGGGCCGGGCCGGGCCCTGTTCCCCTGGAGGTTATTTATGCCAGCTTCTCTGCTGTTTAGATCTCCCGCTGCGGAGCTGGTATAAATACCACACATTTTCCTGGACTGGATTCAACTGGAAAACACATAGTAGAGCAAGCCTGCCTAAAAATGAAAAAGTTGGCAACAGAAATAAAAGTAATTCTAAACAAAGGCTGTAGTGAAAAAGTCTTTACTTTGGTCGATTTGGCTCCTACAGCCTGCACTTGTCCTCATAGTTCTGAGCAGCATCTGGGACACAAGGGAGCGGACAGACACGGAGACTCGGTTACCTCCTTCCCTTCAGCAGCGCTGGACTTAAGAACAATACCCTTCTTCGGTTTGAGAACATCTTATGAGTGCAACCGGAGCCGCGGTCTCACTGTCCCCCCTTTCACTGTCTGGGGGTCCGTGGTTCTGAGGCTGGGTGTTTCCAATCTGAGGGGGCGAAAGGCGGTTTACAACAGTTTCCTTTGCAGATTATCTGTCTGAGACCTTTCGTGGCCTGGAGGTTAGCAGGAGCCGCAACGGGTGGAACCGCTGTCTGGGATTTGCTGTTACGTTTTGGCGCTCAAGAGACGCAAAACTGTCAACGGGGATCTCAACACGCATCTCACACCACACCGATGGCGGGCGAACGTAGGAATCCCAAGTGAACCTGCATTTAGTTAATGAACCGTGCACTCTGGTCAGAAGTATTTTCTCCGTCTCCTAACCAGGCAGCAGCCAATGTCCAGAGATATTTGTGGGACGAACTCTCTGGCGAGTTTGTGGCGAGCACAACATCTCATCTGTGCCACAATTAAAGATATTACGAAGAACCTTTATTTTTTTGGTGGACCATGTGGACGATATCGTTTCCCAGGTCCGAGTGTCCCTTTAGAGAACCTTGAATATTACTGCAGCAGAGGCCAGATGGCTTTCCACCGCGCGGCACTGCTTCTACATCTCCTGTGCCTCCCTTGTCTCCGGGCGGGCTCAGCAACACCTCCTGGGACTCCAGCAGCAGTGGAACAGTCTGATTTTGCTCGGAATCAGTGACCACTGTGTTGAGAGTGACTATATATAATTAGTCAATCTTCACATTGAAGGTTGTCTACTTATGAATGTTATATAGAGGCATCAGATTAAATCGAGTTTCATAACCAGTTAAAAGCTTTTGAGAGGACATAGTAACTATTGTAAACCCCCCACGTCCCGCTGCTGTTGCCTCCAGCCCTTATACGAAGGTAATTGCCTCCTGGCGTAACACGCAAAGATGAGCACGGTATCAGATGTCTCTCAAAAAAGGGAATTTCACAAAACATCAAGTTGTCTTTGTCCCCTGGAACGTCCTCTGTCCCTCAGCCCACAGGTCTGCTGCCAATAAGGACCGCCTTCCTTCACGCACCACGGCTGTTTTTTAATCACTACGCCCTGTGCAACCGTCTTTGCCGCGCTCTGTTACCCCCCCGGGGCCCCCGCCTTGCCGGCAGAACACGCGGGCCCTGCCCCAACCCGCTGGGTAACTCAGGACACGCTATGAGGTGCTACACGGAGAACACAGAATGTGCTGGAAACCAACCACAACAACAACGTCGGGTCAGGAGGAGTATTTCTATCCAGCATTCTGTCCCCTGTTGTCGGGGTGGAGGCAGAGGCCGGACACACACACACACACACACACACACACACACACACACACACACACACACACACACACACACACACACACACACACACGGTCTCCCAGATTGAGACGGGCCAAGATGAGGCCACCTCCCTCCCTCTCTTCCTCTGTTTCTACGTTTCTGTGTCTGAAATAAACACACGCATGCAGACAAACACACACGTGTTGGAATGTGACTGTCTGGCGCTGAATGTCTCAGACTGTCTAGAAAATGGCCCAACTCGGCGGAGGGAAGGAGGTGATGGGGAGAGAGTCCCTCTCTACTCCCAGGAGAGCAGATGTGGGAGAAAACAGAAACGCGTTTTTCTGTGTGTGTGCTTCTACAAGCGAGATCCGACCGACGTTTTAAACAGAGTCTTTCGGAAAGTGAGGAACCAAACGGTTCTTTCAGAGTCAACTTTTGGTTTTGGATTCGTTCCCTCTCTCCATACTTGGAAGCGAAGCAGTGTTTGTTCACTCACTGATTACACATTGATTACATTACTCTCCCAACGCCGCCTCCGTCGTTTTACCTTGTATTTTTTATAGCAATAAAACCAATTTAGAAACTTGACTTTGATACTTAGTTGGAAGACAGAAATGTAGAGGAGTCTGCTGCGTACAGCCGTGAAAGGGAGCCAAGGTTTATTTTGGACGATGTGTTTTTTTAGATGAAACAGCCCACATGTGTGTGTTTAACGCTGCAGCTGTCTACGGCCGCTACCAAAGCGCAGAAAGGACTCAAGGAATCTTTCTTGAGAAGCAGTCCTCTGGCTTTAAATGCCAGGTATCTCTCAGTGACATGCAGGGGAAAGTTGTGAGCCGATATTGAGGCTGACACAACGTCAAAGATAACACACGTACAGTAATGATGTTACGCTGAGGAATTACTTTGTTAAGGATTTTATTCATGCAATTTCTTAATTTTGATATAATATCAAGATTTGTAGCTAGCAAATTGTCATTTTTCGAAGCATGATTGGTTTGAGGTTAGACAAAAAATTGTTGAATCCAATATAATTTTAGTTTTTACAGTTTCTTGCACAATCAATTGTGTATTCTTGGCAAAACAAGAATAAAGAAAAGGGTTCAGAGTTCAGTTCAGTGTTGCAACACACACACACACACACACACACACACACACACACCCAGCCAGCTGAAACAGGTACAGTAACCACTCCCGCTCTCTCCCTCTCTCTCACCCTGATTTCCTGCCCAAAGAAGGGCAACAGCAGAGTAGAGATCTTCTCCCTCACATATCAGACATTCCAAAGATTCCTGCTGCAAACCTGGAGCCGAGGTCGAGGTGGAGTCTGACAGACGTGACCGTCAACCTCCTCAGCCACCGCGTGACGGGAAACAGTAGCCTCAACCTGCCGTCTGTCTCAGAAAGGTTGCATAACCAATGCAGCCCATATATATATAGTTCTACATATTACAGCTCATAGGCCAGTCTGTAGTAATTAGCCATGCAGATTGGATGCTTATTCTACTCAAACTTTTAATCTTTATCAAATTCGGAACTAAAGCAAAAACACGAGTAGGTTTTCTCCCCTCAAGATTCATCTAAAAAGTTTTTTGTTTTCTTTTCACAGCAATGGACATGCAAAATAGATTCCTCCAGCGGTTTACTGTCTGTTAACCCCCCCACTCCAACCATAACATGTACACGATATAAGTGGACTTTGGTGATGTCAGCCATACAACCGAACGGTGAAATAGTTCTGTAAGACCAAAAAGCAAACAGACCCGGAGCGAGACTGAGGCAGTGACCTGTCAATCACAAGGTAGCCCCGCCCTGAAGCATGGACAATAATTTAGGAACTTTGGCCTCACTTTAGAATACTAAAGTTGACCAAGCAGGGTGAATTATTAATAAAATTAGTCTGTATTTCTTGTCTCATCAGTGTAACTGTAAATGACTTAATATTATAGGAATATTATCAAAGCTGCACTCATCCATATTTGTATACGATGTACTGTATATGTAATGGGTTGTATACAAGATGTTGCTTGTGGTGATTTACAACCATTTTGCAGACAGTATCCATGTGCAAATAGGGAACTGCTATGACAACATTTTAAAGGAGATAACAGACAGTCTCCAGTTGTTTACAGCGCTGAACATTTCCTTTAGATGTTTTGTGCATCTGGGCGCTGGAGTGAGGGGAGTTAATTATCAACAGAAGCACATGCTGCTTCCACTGCTGACATCACTGACGGCCAATCGCATCGCCGGTTGAACGTCTTGTGATAACCCCAAAACATTAGACGCCAGTTTACCCCGTTGAGTCACCTCAGAGAACAAAGCGGACCCCGCTGAGGTGGAGTGTGTGCTGTTGTGTTACATGACATACCTTCCACAGCCTGGAACATGTAATTAATGTGAGTGTGTGTGTGTGTGTGTGTGTTTGTTTGTGTGCAGGCACTGACCTCCAACGGCTTCACACCTGGACGTCATCTCCCAGAGCACAAGGGCCATGGAGTAGATGTCGGTCTGTTTGAAGGACTCCATGTTCTCCAGGTTGAGTCGGGCCTCCAGCACTTCTGGAGCCATGTAGCGCGCCGTACCCACCTGCGGCAAAGCGGAGACATCAGGTGGGGGTTAAACACCAGTACACACCCGGGTCGGTCCAGCGTCAAAAGAAAGCCCAAGCTTTCAATACACTATCTGGAGGGCCACACAAACCTTCAAGTCTCCCACGACTACTGAGATATGATCTGTTTCATGCAGCCGATGTATTGTCAAATACGGTTTGCCCCTCAATGTGGTGACCCCTTTACCTAAACCTGGACTAAACGTTGTCCCCTCAGCGTTTTAACAGGATGTAAAACAGACTTCAACGTAACTCCGGGGTCAACAGCAAAGTATCCTCCGCAAAGTTCTGACCCTTGAAGACTCGCCAATCGTAGCGTAGTCATTCCATGGTCTCACATTGTCCTCATTTTCTCCACTGCTTTTGTGGATTTGGAGCCAGTCATGGTTAAACGTTGTGTAGTAGTGATACTTGTTACCCGTAGAGAACGGATGTAGAACTGTAACTTTAGCTGCTAATTGTTTACTGAAGGTATACTCTTTAATAACTGTATCAATAGGTAATGACCACCTGGCTATAGAGGAACAGTGTTGCTCCAAGTCCAAACGTATATCCAGTCAGTCTGAAATCCACTCAGCTTGTGAGTCTTGTTCCACCCTCCATACCATTATAAAAAGCATATATGATAGTATCAATATATAATATATTTTTTTTTAATCATTTGACACATTGTCGACATTCCCGAAAGAGAATTTCAACAAATACAACAAAAAGATTCATGAAATTCATTATCCACCCGCTGTGAATATACAAAGGCAAAAGGCTTGCAGGCAAGATTGTTTCCCAAATAATAGAACCACGCTGAGCCCATTTTTTAGACAAAGAACAGTGTGCGGCTGCCCTTGTTTCTTACAGGTTTTTCTGCGCTGGACCACATGGACACAAAAAGAAGTTATAATTACAACCTATTGGCTGGGAATTTGTAGTTGTGAATAGAACCTAACGTGACAGTCACAGATCAACATTTAAACGTTTGAATGGATAAAACCAAACCCCAGAGAGCACAGGAACAAATAGACAGGATCGTGTCATTATGGGCAGGTTCTTTCTGTTTGTATGTACTTTATGTAGTGTTGTACCAAATGTAAATTCACGTTAAGCTGGCAATGCGTTGTCCCAGGGTAAAGTCAAGGAAGGAAGGTTAGGAAAGTAATGTCCATTTCCTACTGCTTCAAGCTGTACTTCTAATCCACTTTCAGAGGGAATTATTGTACTTTTTTACCTCATTTGCCACAACTCTTAATTACTTTTCAAACTAAGAAAATCCTTTATATCTCTGTTTACAATATTGTAGATTTCTATACAATTTTTGATTGGCTTCACTTTTCCCGCCCAGAGGTTAGCGCCTGATTGTGAAATCTCTTTGTGCTTAATTTAAATGAGAATTTTGCGGGAGTGGCTTAAGAGGGACGCCTGAAGGGACAGGCGCTATCAGCGGTGCCAACTCTGCTACTTTCTCGTTGGATTTAGCAATTTCTGGAGCTTTCATTGGAAAAGAGTTGGCAAAAAGGGGCTATGGTTTTTGCTTGGGTGATTTTTTAAATCTGGCTGGTTCCTCCGTGAGCCCTACCCAACTTAATAATGAATTTAAGTACTTCTTCCACCATCAGTCATATTTGTATATTAATGAGTTGGAGTAGACTCTTGATTGATGATTTGGTGCCATTTTTTTTCTCTAAAGGACTTTAATAACGTACTCAAATGCAAAACCATCTATATATAACAAATAAAAGGAAAATAAATCAGGAGAGACTTTTTATCTGACCTGTCCACTGTTGGCCAGGTCGTCCACAGACAGAGTGCTGTCCAAACGGAGTCCGAGCCCAAAGTCACACAGGCACAACGTCAGGTCGTTCTTCACCAGGATGTTGGAGCTCTTCAGGTCGCGATGGACTATGGGCACCTTTAGGGTACAATGGAAGGACGAGGAGAAATACCAGATATAAATGAACCATTAAGACATTTTGAATTTCATACTGCAGGCATTTATTACACCAGTGAGAATTATATTATTTGTTTAATCTGATCAATATCAGGACATAAAGGAAGTTCAGGAGTGATGTTTGTTTGCTGTTTGTTTTTTGAAAATGACAACAGTTGTTATAATTGCACAGTCCTTAGCCAGAGGACACACTGAATTCAAAAGCACTCATAAAAAATTAGTTATGAAACTAATGCGTATAATGTTCGCTAATTGTATCACTTATCACTGACCCCGCTTAGCTTACATATCGATGCCATAACATCATATGAAACAAAGTGCAAGCTGTTATGAAGCTGCTGTGTGCGGCTCTCTTGCTGGGGGGTCTTGATGTGGTGTGACGTAATTGTAGCATATGACTCTTCACACATCAAACATCAGGGCCACTCTCTCTCTTTGCAGAGGATCAAACAGTGTTTGGCCGCATGCTTGTGAGAGGATCATGTGACGGGCCAGGAGGTCACTGGCCGCGGTGTTCAGGCCCACCTTAGGGCGCCCACAGAGGAGGCGGTCGCTGTGCAGGTGGGCGACGCCCCGGGCCAGAGACAAGCCGAGCACCTGCAGCTCCTCCCAGCTGATCACATGACGCGTCAGGTGCTCCTGGAGGGCAGAGGGATTTTTGATGAAATTATGAATGGAAAAAGTAAAAAGTGCAGCTGCTGCCTTTCTATTAGCAATGGTAATAATTCTAATTATTAGTAATAATGATGAGGTTTGGACTATTGTTTAGACAAAACCAACATGGTGATGGTGTCATTTTGTCATCAACATTGATCATTGATCGATTAATCAGTTAAATTAAGTAATTAAAATGATCACCACCTCAAACAACTACTAGAGTACAATCCTGGATGTATCTATTGAAATAATATACAATAATCCCAGGTGACGTTTTTCTGCTTTTAATGCTTTTTGTAAATTTATCTCACTATATTTGCATCTTTCTACGGAAGTAACTTTTTTAATGCTTTAACTGTTTAAGAGTATTTTTACAGTATGGTAGATTTACTTTTACACAAAGGGTACCTTCCCGCTCAACAGCCTGTAGCTTAACTGCAACGGGAAACTCCTCAACACCAATGTATAGACTGGTTCTGGCCAAATGTTAACGATTTTCTTTTATCTGTAGGGTTATTTCCATACGTTTGTCAGTAACGTATCATTAATAACCTGAGAAAGGCAACAACAACATCAATACATTGACAGTGAGATGCAATGAGCCGTTACGCCGTTTGGAGGCTGGCGTCTCTAAATTAATATTAGATTTATTTCAGAAAATGTTTTTCACATTAGTCAAAACATTAAAGGACAATACGGTCCAATTTGAGATACAGAGAAGCTACACTAAGTAAAGGGCCTAAATACTTTCCCAACTCTTAAGTTAAGCGCTTAAGTTATACTGTCCTATTCATGGTGGGTTACCGTAAGGTGCCAGTCTCACCTGTAGGTTTCCTCTGGGGTGGAAGGCGGTGATGAGCCAGTACTGCTTCTCCACCTTCCGCTCCTCAGCCGTCAGGAAGTGGACGATGTTCTCATGCCGGAGGTCCATATAGGAGAAGATGTCTTTCTCGTTTTTCCAGGAGGCGTACTCCTCGTAAGGGAAGATCTTCACGGCCACCGTCTCAAACTGATCCGAGGTGGTCTGTTTCAGCTTTGCTTTGTACACCTGGGCAAAGCGACCCTTACCCACCTGAAAGGGGAGCAAAAGGGATGAAATTGGTAGGAATTTAAGTTTTGGTGGTTTGGTTTAAAACAAAACAAAAGTGCCACCAGGTCAATACCAGCATATCCAGCTCTATAGGCAGTGGCTCGGTGTTGTGGTTCAGGTGGTTGGCGTGCGTCGAGCTGCTGTCCGACCCGTCGTCGTCCATCATGATGGCGCACGCATCACAGTCCAACCCACCGGCTTTTGTCTTACGCTTCTTCGCGCTTCTCTCCCACTCTTGGCTCACGCGTTGCCGGTAGGCTCGGTACCAATAGAACATTCCGGCAACCACAACCCCCATCGTCAGCAGGGGGAGCAGGCTCACCAGGATCACGGACAGCAAAGCATCGTCCGGGGTTGGATCCACGACTGGAGATACGGATGAGACGGATGATCAGCGGTCAAAGAGGTCTTTGTGGCTGTGCAGTTAGGTGAGGTCAGTTGTTGTGGTTTATTAGTGACGGTCTGAATGTACCTTTTAAGCTGATGTCACAGTGTTGATAAGGAGGATTGGCGCTAACCTCCGTGCGCCAACAACCAGCTCAGCTGCAATCATTTCATTCGATTCCAATGATCAACTTCCTCAGTAACTGTTAACTCACCCAGTTAATCACAATTCACATGATTTTTTGGCGTGGTAACACTGACACATGATGACTCTAGTCAAGCTGTGTGGTTAACGCTGGCTTGATATCAAACACTTGATCCCTCGTGCAGGTAAGGGCCATTTGAATTCATCACAAAGAAATGACTATATTAGTGGTTTGGATCCCCTTCATGTCCTGTTTTATCTAGTGCTCATGAAACTTTCTTTGCCTGAAAAGGTGGTGATGTAAAGACAGGTCTTTGTGTGTTTACGGTTCTGCACGAAGCAACACTCGGCAATTTCCTCCCACTACTCATACAGAAACAGTCCAACACAAGTACACAAAAGGGAAGTCCTTCTTGAGGCCTGAGCTATGAAAAAACATATAATACATATAAAATATGTATAAGTATATATATACAGTATGTGTGTTTGTGTATCTTTAAGTTTGTAAACTCAGAAGGTAGAAGACTATGTGCTATATCAATAGGCCTACTGTGGTCACTGCCAACAGCCTTCATAGCTTCACGAGGTATATCATTAACTTCCTCCTCTGTCAGCTCGGACAAACCGGCCGCCAAGCCTCGGAGCTCCAGCCTCGGGGAGAAAACAGTCGGGGGCCTGTCTGCCTCGGCTCGGCCTGGCCCCGGCTTTAGCTGGGCTCCTTTTCAAAGGTTGTCTCTCTCTGGGAATATGACTGTCCTAAGCCAAGCCGCCACATTGGCGAGCCACGAGGAGCTTGGAACCGAGGACTTAGCGTTGACGTGCGTCTATTTCGCATTCAGATTTTCCTCCGAGTGCTCCTGAATGAGCATTACAACGTCTAAATGTTATATACTGTAACAAGATCAAAATCACATTTTACGGCAATTTAGTTTTTTAGTTAGTTAGATTTTTTTGTTATTCTAAATTAAGCTTTTACACCATTAAATCTCAGAAAGAAATGTTTTTGGTCACTAAATAGTGAGTAGTTAGTAAGTAGATGAAGATTTAAAAAACAATATATATAAAACGTTCTCCAATATTATAAACTTTATATACTTAAATACTTAAATAAGGATACATATTATACTTAATACATTATAAATTTGTATTCAATATATATTTCATTTGAGGTAAAATAATTTCTCTTCAACAGCGCAATGCTGCATTCAAAAGGACACTTTCTGGACTGCATGGCTGATGGAATGAAATACATTCAATCTAATCTGTTTATTCTAGTCATTTTGTTTCTTATTATTCATATTCTCAGCAAACTTTTCTCCTTGTGTGAGTTAGCCACACGTAACATTTGGGTCTAAATATCTCAACCATGACAAAAATAGCATTTAGCATTACTGTTGCTGCATATTGTCTTGCAGCGTGATGCTTAGATGCTAACAAGATGCACATGTTCTTGCATGTCGAGATCAGTGTTAAGCATCTTGCTTCTAGTATCAATGCATTTAAAAAGAAAGGAAAGCTAATGCTTCTTAAGCTAGCAAGTTAATGCTACTTGGAAGTCTTTGGAATTTGGTTTATTTGACACTAAATGACACATAACTACAACCTTTGAAGCACGCCACAATTAAGTCCAAGGCCTATTTCCACCATCTTTGAGGAAGACACGTGCACTTGATGATGAAGATCAGTGTCGTGTGTCGACTTCTAATTAGCTTAGCTAAAGGTACGTCTGATTCACATGTTAAAACCTTAACTTTGGCCTTATACAAGTGGGTTGCCGTTGAATCATTCATGAAGGTAAGTAAGTAGAAATATTCAGAGGAATATCTTCTCTCGGGGTTGTAAAGCAGTATGTCTCACTGAAATAGCTGCTGGCAAAGTCATGGATGCAATGAATCAAAAACGCTGAATATAACTTTTAAGTGGGTTGTGAAAATGTATTTTCTCGCCGTGATTAGAGTGTATGAGTATTCATTTGTGGTAGCAGAGCAGATCAGACGGTGCCAACACATGCTGGCAATAGGACTTGTGTTGACTTTTCCAATCAGTATGCCAACGTTTTCTCATGCAGTCTTTGTGGAGGTTTGACACATCATTCCAACTAATAAAGTTAACCTCCGGCTTGCAATTACACATGCGTGTGTGTTTCAGGATGTGAATGCTGGGTTTTCAAACATTGCCATCTCTGACTCAGGCTCTCAAATGCTCGATCTGATCATTAATTATTTGGATCCAAGCAATTTCCTGGAGGAAAACAACACAGCCAGACTTGATTTCATGTTCAAATTGGTGGGTAGATGGACGCCATCCTTAACACTGATGAGGTACCTGCACACTTCGCCGGGCCAGTTTGTCTGATGCAAGGAAAGATTTCCACTGAGACTTTTACTCTCATTATTCACATTGACTTGATCAAACTCAAAACCTTTGCAGCTGATAATCTGCAATTCCTTCAGCTGTATGGTGAGACTTCTCCTTTCACCCTTTTCTGTAATAAATCTTTACTTTAACTTTAAACTTTAACAGTGACATAGAGACGGATGGTGTCCAGCATAATTATGATGTCTAGAAATAGCAGCTGTGTGTTGATAAGACGTGAGCATAAACGTGATCTGATTGGCTGGTGCCTGTGCAGTCGTATTTGCATGAAAGGTGCTGTGAGTGAACCGGTGCCCAGCTTGAGAGCTGCTGTGGGAAGCTGAAAGATAACGTCTTCTCCATCAATTTATCCGTTCGCTACAATATGTTGGATTCATGTTAATGTGTATTCAAAAGATAATAAATACAATTCTGATTCTGAAGACATTTAAATTTGTGGGAAAAAAATGGTTGAAAAAAACCCTGTTGAAGACCTCACTAAACTAAAGACGTCCTTGTGCGCTTTGAATTTCTAACGAAGTCAATTGTGTTGAGCATAAAATTGAACAGTAAACAGTCTAAACTTATCTTTATGCTCTGAGAAAAACAAAAGCATTTCTCCCCGCTAATGTGGGATAGATTCTTCAGTTAGTACAGTGTTTCCCAAACTTCTTCTGTTGAGCCCTCCTTTGATGATATAAGAATATTGACTCAAGGTGAATCTTCACATGATAAGAAAGGAAGTAAGTTGATGTTTCAGTGGGCTTCAAACTGTCTGCTGCCAGTATTTTGGGACTCAACACGCTGGGGTCTCTCCTCTTGGCCGACCACAGTGCTTGTAAAGCCCAGGGACTGATATGACTTGTTATTTTTCCATACTTTTACCTTTTTTTGTGCATTACTTGTGGTGGTCGCGTCACCTGTTACAGCTGATCTGATCTGCGCTTCAAACCAGTTTTAAATCTGTCCATCCTCCACAATGCAACCGTATTTATCTTTTGGGTTGGTGGTTAGAACACAGTGTATGTCATGACGGTTCCGCTTGATTTCTTTGTCTTTAATTTGTATTACTTAGGTGCAACCCTGTGATATAGTGCACAATATTTACCACTTGTTTGCAATTGCAATTTTTATGATTTTATTTTAGAATTTTTGTGTGTGTGTGTCTGTGGGCCTGTGCGTGTGGCTGGTTATGAAGTGGCGCCCTCCATGTAGTTCCTCCGCACCTCTGCTAGGGGGCACGCCCACCAGTTTGGGAACCACTGAATTAGAACATCAGCATTTAGAGCTGGGAGAACACACTGTGTCTAAGAAGTGGAATCAGTCATTGTCAATGGTTTTCTGGCGGAGGTTTTGAGTTGTTGCCGCCATCCTGATTTTTGGCCCCTTGTCATTTTATTTTTCTGCAACCAGTATTCAACTTGTTTGACAAGATAAAGCAGCCATACAATCCTAAATATAGCGTACACCTAAACAGATTAATTTAATCTAAAATACAATTTCATTCAAAGAAATCTGTAATATTTTTTAAAAACCTGGACAAGATTGACAACAAATTGGTCGTTTCAGTATTCGCTGTGGTTTACAATTCAAGGTGTTACACGTGTCACAAAATAAACACATAGAATAAAGAAGAAGTTGTTTACCATCTTTCCCTGTGGAGTGAACTGATATAAATAACCTGCCTTATCCGGGATGGTATCATATTATGTTGGTCGCAGCGTGAAGGAATTCTGCCACAGGGAGGCTGGTGACACAGACTAAAAGTGATTATCACACTCACTATTTACTTGTCATGGCAACAATCTCCTCCCACATCTCTCCGTCTCTTTATCTACTTACACATCCCATTTGACCTGAGTGAACTTTTTTCTTTTCCTCCTCTTTTCATGCATCTTGCATCCCTATAGAGCAGTCTGTGCTGCACAAATGAATAACTGGTCCATTCACTGACAGCGAGCCAACATTCCACAGCTGAGGAGGAAGTGAAAAAATAAGAAGACAAAAAAATGACCTCGGAACAAACATTCTTTCCCTAAATTGCTCCAGGACCACCTTATCCTCTTTCTATTTTGTTGGCAAAAGTGTTTCTAATTAATTCTTCCGTTCCCTTTTCTTATTTTTATTTATTTTTCTCTCCGAAAATCACCAGTTAACGTCACGAGGAAGAGTTCCTTGCATGAAAAATATCAAAATAAGCCATGAAAAGACTTGCCGGAAATTAATTGGCTCCGCCTACAATCTCATTCCTCACATAGCGTGCGTCCACGTAGCCGGGATGACTTTGTCAAGAGCACAGCTGTAAATGCAGCTCTAAAGTATAGCATGTGACTGTGAAGAACACGTGTGTAACTGACACTGGCTGGGAGGCGAAATCATCTTTACACGATCTTAATGAGAAACAACTGCCGACGCACAAGTCTCAGAGTGAAAGCATTGACAGGCGATAATGCTGATGGGCTGCGAAAGACATCATTTTTGAAAAGTACCCTAATTCTGGCCAGGCTTATACAAAATTGATATAGTAGTCAAAAGAAAAATTTGTTTCCACCTACTCAGATTTTGGTTCGCAAACAAAATATTTCATTCGACATACTGGAATGATTTAATTGTGTTACTTGTGTCCAGTCCACAACTTCCAGTTCTGAAGAGTGAAGCCACCAGGGGGCGACTCCTCTGCTTGCCTGTGAGAAAATGACTCAACTTCTGTCTTCATTTATTTCCTCAGTAAACATTGTAATCATGAGTTGATGGTCTCAATCATAGTCTTCAATGAAGGACGATGTCCTTCTAGTCAATTTGGGTTCATTTAACAGTCACATTCACCAGGAGGCGGGGCGCGCTTTTTGCCGTACGACACTCCTTCATGTATGGTCACTTATGTTTAATGTTCGCAAAAAACCCAACATGCCAACGGCCGTGATGCAAGGTGGTGATGGACGGATTGGACTCGAAGCGGCGGTGCACGAACCAATAGGAACCAAACGCTTCTTATTTACACAGTCTCTTGTGCCAAGCCATCCAAGCAGTTTACGAGCTATGGGCTGAGAGAAGATTTTGCCGGCGCAAAGCCACCGGCAACTTTGAAGGTAAAATATATTCTATCATGTTACTCGATGAAAGAGTTATTGTTGGGAATCAATCAACACACCTCGGATGTTAATGTGACAAACGTGAGCAATCCACTTGTTTTTATCGCCCCTACTTCTTGATTTTCACTTTATTGGTGTGTGGATCTGTCAGCGCTCACAGATCGGTATGTGAACAGATTAATTGCTGACATTTTATTTCCATTATAACAACCCATTCTCACATGTGCACACGCCAGTTTAGTAGGCGGTGCGTCAACAAAACGTGGTCTAAGTGATCACATCCCAAAGCGCCCTTGATGTCTCTCGGGTCCACTTGCCCCTGTTCTTAAAGAGTTTCCCTCTGCCGGGTTTGAATGTGGCCTCTGATCTAATGCTGCTGATACCAATACGACAATGTTCAGTCCCTCGGGGCGGCATTTGTTTCATTTGAATAAACCAACACCACGACTCACATAAACCGCACACAGAAACAGCATTACGAGAAAGTCACAAGAACGTAACGCAGAAAAATGTGAGGCATTTGTGGAGGAAAAAGTCTTGTCAGTGTTCCAGTAAACAAGCAACTTCCTGCTGCACGTGTCCTCAATGGGAGGGAGGAACCACAACCCTCCGCCTCAGGGCTGCGTGTCTCAGTGAGACAGGCGTGCTGACAGACACATTTCACTTTTTAGAGAAACCACTCATTTGACGGAGCTTGTAAAGCATAAAGTGCTTCCGTGCTTCCAGCTGTTTTTAATGCTCATTGATCACGGCACTGATCTCTAGCGAGTTGCCTCATTCGCAGAGGCTTTTGGTACCGGAACGTCATTTATACGAGACGATAGAAGAAACATGCTGCGTGTCGAATGAATCCGACAAGGCTGCATTCATCTCGCCACTACCTGGCGCCGTGGCTGTTTGGTGGCTTTTACCTTTCATGTAGATTTAAGTAAAGTTTGCTGGCCGTGTGAACAACGATGCTCTAATTAACAGACAGTTTGTACCAACAAGTCATCACTTGTCACAACGCCCGAGCAGATCGGAAGCTCTGAGCGAATCATTGACGTGGGCGGTGCAGGATTCAGGGAATGCAGCCAAACCACAGGAGGCAAGTAGGGGAGGTTATTAATCAATAATCAACGCTATCTATCTAGTTTTTAGGTTACTGAGGGACTCATAAACTACGTAGGGTATTTGTCTATGGTTAAACTGATCACAATACGAGAAAATCCTCTGTCTAGTTCAGAGGTTTCCAAACTAGGAGGGCGCAGTGGAACTATAAGTGGGGCTCAACTTCATCCCCGAAATATTAATGATTCTGCAAACATGATTATGTTACCTGCTGTTATATGTGGGGAAATATGTTGTTTGAACTTGTTATTTGCAGAGAAATTAAGTTAATTTGTATTATTAATTTACAATTTAATTGTATTGCTATTTCATTTTCAGTAAAAAAGAAGAAACAAATTAATTAAAGTGGAAAAGTGAGGTGATATGTATTAATTTTAGAAAGAAAAAGTAATATTTCATAGAGCTTATATACTATTATTATTATTATAATTCAAAACACAAAAGGTACACCCCATTTTTTTGGGGGGGGGACACAGAGGCCTTCAATGCTTCTATATCATCCAAGGTGCTCAAAACGAAAAGCTGTGGGAACCACGGCCTGTCTTCTTTGTGTCAGTCAGGTTTTATCTGTGTTTTGGGTTGATTTCAGGAAAGGTCTTCTTTTGGTTGTATCACTTTAGCCTTTGTTGTTGGCCTCTTTGCTTGGGTTTTGTGAGAAAGTTATTTCAATACATTACTTACTGTAGCTCTACCAATTCTGTTTCTTACCGACAGTAATCTTGTGTGTCTGTCAAAATAAACATACGTGTGGGTGAGAGAAATGTTGTATTTGTCAACCCCAAAAGGACCCTCAGAGTCAGTGTGTCTTAACACTTGACCACTTTTCAGCTGATGTGGAAGGCTCATTTTGCATTAGACATGTTTCGCACACTTTTCTGGGGACCCACTTTAAAAATGACAAACCGGCCTTTATATATAAACTGGGAGAATAGTGAATTTGTGGCATTTCCTCATCCCCTTATAGCCTCTTTTGTTGTTGGTAAACCAACCACACTTAGGAAATATGCATTTGATAAATCACCATATTGTTTTAGTATTGTTTACTCAGGCTAAATAGTTTAAATGTGACACCAAAGACCTGCACTGCCAGGGACTGCGGAGGTGCTCTCTGTCTAGTTCACCATGTGCTGGAGATGTTTCTTATTTGAGTTAAACACAGACAGGAAACCATATGTCTGAGCTCTCCAGCGTGGCCGGTCTACACCACACACGCAGATGCTGACGTAGACACTCGACTTTCTTCTCAGAAGCCAAACACCACGCACTGAACCCTGCAGCTGCCTGTCCTGAGGATCCCCCCTTAGGCCGGTGTTTATGTGTGATGCGTGATCCCACGTTTCCACTTCCTGTTTGTGATGACGGTGCATTATGCAGGAAATCTAAACTGCGCGGTTGCGAAGCCACAGTGGGCACAAAGAATGACTTTTGAAAGCACTGTGACACTCAAACATAAGCACAGACCCACACACACAGTTTCCATCAGTGGTCAAAGAGAAGAGAAGGTGGAAGGAGCGGCGTGAGCGTAGTGACAACCGCACAGGGGGGAATAATGATTCACCGATAAAGAAAGCACCAGCGACCGAGCACATCACGGAGGAAATGGAACAGCGCAGAAGGCAAACAAGCACTGAAGAGCGCGAAAGGATTGTTCTGTTCAGCAAATGTTGACAGTTCTGAAACAGTACAGATCAGGTCAGATCAGAAAAGCAGCTGATTCTATAGTTGGGCAACTAGACATCGCTTCAAAATGATTTAAAAGTTGTTTTAAAGTATTTGTCTGCTTTTTTTCTGCGCCGGCAAACGATACATTTGAGAGTAAAGAACCAATAAGTGGTAACTATTTATTTGTCAGCATATCTGTAACGCATCACTCATTTGGTCTTTTCATTTCCTTTGTTGGTGATGTAAATAGCAATACCAGCAGTATCAAGTGGACCTTTAAATACATCATTCACTCACCGGGGATGAATAAGACTTTGTCGTTACACTCTTCCACGTCTCTACAGGAGCAGATTTCAGCCATCCCGCTCGTGGTGTTCTTCTTTTTCATCACGCAGGTGGAGCTGTTGTAGTCGTCCAGCATGACCCCGTAGAGCGGCTTGGATGGGTTGTGGCACAAGGTTTCAAGGGAGAGGTCGGTCTCGTTCTTTCTCCTGAGAGAAGCGCGGGTAAAATAGTTTAGACGGCGTGTATTGGGATGAAACGGGTCGTATCCCATCTCTCAGATGAGAGGGGGCGCTCCACGCGCGGGTACCTACCAGATGGAGACGCAGACCTCGACGCGGTCCGTACAGATGGATGTGATAGAGCAGTTGGACACGCAGGTCCCCGTGCCGCTGCAGGAGGTAAGCTCCACGTCGCAGAACTTACAGAGCTGATTCATGGAGAATAAAGTTGGCATCCCTGCAGGAAACACACACAGTATCGTCAGGTTAGCTTCATGCTTCAGGCAAGATTTGTTTTCTCATCGGTACACAAAGTTCTTCTGGCTGGAAGCATAAAAAAAATACAGTCTTCACCATTGCCTTTTTGCTTTTTTGCAACCAATAAACAGAATTGAGCATAATTGGAATGCGGGGAGTGACGTAGGGATGATGTATACGGGTCTGGTGGCGGCAGTGACCTGTCAATCAAAGTCAACCTGCGCAAAAGCATACTCAGCTTTTTGGTTTGTTTGACTCTGAACAGAGAGTAATTTACTAAAAGAACATTATTGGGGTATTGAGAAACTGGACATTGAGTCGGAAGGCTTCTTATAGACCTCTGTGTCATCAGACTTATTTTTACATACAGAAGTCTGTCCTTCAGTTGGAGAATTGAGACGATGGATGACACTCTCGCATTGGCTTCCCTCAGTAGAACCAGAGGTTGCCGCCTGGTCTGCATGAACTGAGCCGCCTGATAGCCATAGTTCTTTCTCACAAAATGAGATTATTCTTTTGTAAGTGACTGAGAGAGATCTTTTTTTCTGATAAAGCAACATAAGGCTTGACTGAACGTTACTTTCCTAAGTTGGAACATAATTTAAAAATGAATACATTGTTAGAAATCTGTTGATGCATCCTGACTGCAAACTACCCGCAGTACCCAACTACAGGACAGCCTCAGCTGTCTGAATTGAACCAGGTCTGGACCGTACACCATTGTCAACGCAGACAACCACAACGAGGAAAACCTCTCCGCCAGGCAGCACTGACTGGTTTTATCAACCACTTCAAATGTGCTGGATGGGGCCAAAGGAAACCATTGAGCCATACAAAAATAGAGTACGGCCACACTAAACCACCGACACTGGCAACCACAGCTGAATCAATAGGTAGCCTGTGCCAAGCTACAGCAATTTCTTACATCAAAACCACTTCGGATACATAAACCACAAAACCTCATAGAATCTTAAAAAATTGCCTGAGCACAAGAATTTCCTGAATGAACCAAGAAATCCTTATTTTTTCATTCATTCATCCATTAAAGAAAGTTGTTTTTCTGATCTGTTTGCGTATACTGTCAGATTTCAGGAAGTAAGCAATGACTGATCTGTCCCCTCCAAAGTTGATCCCATGTAATAAATTAATCACAAAGTCTGCAAAAACACTACTGTGACTAGTCACGCCACAAAGCCCCAGCATTTGTGATCCATAGTTGAAGCCAGAGATACAATGGCGTTGTTTCATACGTCACCCGGGGCTAATGGAAGGCGCTGCATGCGGTAGCCACATGGACTCAAACCAGCACAATGTCTCCCTGTCATTCTCCTTCTCTTCTGCAGACTTGCTCTTCTGACTCTGACCTCTCTGACCTCTGTGGGACCAACCTGGTCTCAGGTAGGTCAGCTCCACGAGGGAGTGCACTAGAATACTTTCAGCTCTGCACATATGGATATCCGCTTTTACTACACTTCTGGTTGAAATAAACAGCAAGACCTTCTTTGGTCTTTTTGAAAAGAATTGGCCTTTCTGGACCTGATATTTGTGAAATAAATGCCCCACCTAATTGGAGCCCTCTGGGATTTGGAACAATTCATGTACTCGCATCCACCCAACTTCCGTTCACATTGTTAACACTCACACTTGATTTTTGTATCTGCTGCTTTGCTCCTTATGACAGATCGATATAGCAGATCAACCATATTTTCCACAAACCCACTGGGTGACGTCACATCGACCGGGTCTACCTCTCGTAAAAAGTCTAGGATCAAACTCCAGTCTGCACTTTTCTTGCATACAACAGTGACGGCAGCCCCCACACGTCTGAAATCCAAGAAATAGTCAAAACAACTGCACAGGGAGCAGTCCGTGGTATCGCTAAATCATTTGACACGCCAGCGGTGCCGGTGGAGCAGAGCTGTGAAACCCGACCAGGGGTCTGAATGCCGTCTAGTTGGACTCCCTTGTGTCTTCAAACGCTACTTACTCCCCTTTGAGGCTTCACTGCTTGGTTGTACGTCGACTAGATGTGTGGTTCTGTGTTTCAAGACACATTCCGTCACATGGTGACATGGAGTGTGGTTGGGGACGGGGCAAAGGGCGGGACATAGCAGAGCGCTCAGAGCGACCTCGGAGACAAATAAAAAGCTGCAGGTTCAGTGTAGCAAAGTGCCACAGAGAACGAATAAAACCAGAACAATGGAGGCAGAGTAAGACTTTGAATTGTCAATTCATCATTATACTATTGTGCAACACTGCTTGCACATTGGGAGAGCATTATAAGGCTCACATTTACTCAATCAGCTTTCGCTGGTAAACGATTGAATTGTTTCACTTTTTTTTATTGCTGCTTGGTTTGAACTCTTTACTTTATTTACTCTCTCTGAGCGCACGTCTTTTTAAGTAACAGGTAGACATTTCTGGGAACTGACTTTTTAATTTAATTTCTAAGAATGGTAAATGTATTGTTCTTGTACAGCGCGTCTCTCATCTTCCCACCCCTCTATGCGCTTTAACACCTCATGCAAATATTTGTATATTTGTTCATCACAGACAGCATGTTCAGGCATATAAATATAGAATACATGGCTATTTGTACGACAACCTCAAACATGCCTAAAATGTTTGACATTGTTAGAGTTGTGAGAAGATACAATCATTTCGTCATTGATAAAAAGCGTGAACCAAGACGAAAGGAAATCCCCAGGATTCACAGTGATCTTCAAAAGTTAGAGGCAAAAGTTTTTTCTCCCTGAACTTTGTGCTGGTGCGGAAAGTTAATGAGCTACTGCGCGTGAAGGATGTGTTGGTATGTGAGTCATTATTTCAGCTGCAAAAGTGCTTTGAATTTTTATTGGGAATGCACACTTTCCCTACTGCTGCTCCATGTGTAGGAATTACAATATGAAAACAATGGTGACCTCAGTGTGTCACAGGAAGACGGGGACTGTCATTAAGGGCTCTTGAAGGCTCCTGAAGGGGCTGTAATTGTTATATGAGATTTCTTTGTGTTAAAACGGGAGGGAAATGTTGCTCGTGCGAACTGCTTCCGTTTGACTATCAGACCAATGATTAACATTAGCAAATACTTTGGGGCGCCAAAGAAATTGAGGAAAGGTGTAAACATTAATTTGAAGACGCTTTAGTAAATAGCACTAATGCTGTGTCCTGAAGTGAAAATGTAAAATTACGCACAGGGTATACATTTAATAATTATTTGTCATAAAGCAATATGATGAGACCATTACTCTAAATATTGAATGTCTCCTTTTGCAACTGTCCTTATGCAAGTATTAATTTATTAATTCTAGAGACCCCCCCCCCCCGCAACAAACCACCCCATAGGCCCTTTGTCTTATGACCAATTCTGTGTTTTGTTAGCTATTGGCTCCAGTCATGACGGGAGCAAAGGAAGAAGTCAGATGATGTGCTTTCAATAGTGACAAACTTACATTGGTAAATTAAGTTCCGTAACACACATGCTCATTGAACATTAACTACAGTCGTTTGTAACAAGCAGTTTTGTTCCATTCCGCTGAGACATTAAATTGTCTTGATCTCCTGCCACAGGTAGGAGGCGCTAATTTAGAAAACGCAGCAGGAGACCAGCTCCCCTTTCTGCTCACCGTAAACACGAGTCCATAATCTCAATCTTTAGATTTTAGTCTTCTTCAATACAGCATGATGTTTATTTAGAAAGGTCAACACAAAAGCATCTACGTAATGAAACAATGTAATTTTTCTGGAGTTTAAGTGAAGCAGAAACGTTTTGTCGTATGGAAAACAAACCAAGCGCCTGAACCGATCGGCTGGAATGGCCACGTCTACCCCTCCCCTCTCCTCACATCCTAAGCGGTTTGGAAATCCACTAAGGATGTGAGCTCACAGTGGACAGCAGGACGGACAGGAAACTTGACAGCAGTTTATCACCCGTATACAGGAAAAGTCTGCTCCGAACTGCTCAAATGGGAATGGAAAGAGGAAAGAACCTGCACACCAGACGGGCGCAGCCTACTATTGGGCTTCAGTGAAAAGTCCTGGAAAATGTTTTGTTAAAATAGTTTGCTTTATTTCAAATTGGCAAGGCTCGTTTGGGGAAAGGTCATTGCCGTATATAAAATATGGACTTTTGCTTAATTAATTAAATGTATAATAATGGAGACACCCCTGGAAATCATTGTCTGTTATTTAGTAGTGAAATAGGCGAAACATGCAGTACAAATCTTCTTCTTTTGGGCCTATTCCCATCACGGACACCAGGGGAGACCACTGGCAAAAGGCTCCGGTGCTGAATAAGTGCCCCAGCGGGCGGCCCAGCTTTCTCCGTTCAGTCTTGAAAATTATCCTCCCTTTACTCCCTCTTAACCCGACTCCCTCCAACTGGCAGGCAATCCTCTCGTTCCTTCCCGTTTTTATGTCCCTCCCCTTGACTTTCTTCGGGTTCCCCTTCGTCCCTCCTCCTGCATCCATACTGCGTCAAACTGACTCCGGAAGTCGGCAAAGCAAGTCGAGGGGGGAAGGCTCACTAATCAAAGCGAGGCCCTTCAGTGAGGTCGAAGTGGCTGACCCCTTCTTTGTTCTCCTCTTCCACACACTGAAGGACAATGTGGTCTGTGTGAAAACAGAGGGACTCCGGCCTTTCTGGACAGAACGGATACTTAGGTGTTAGCAGCCAGTCGGTAGCGCAGTCCTGCTTGGCGGTATACCAGAGCTTAAAGTTACCATTAATGCAGGTTAGGGGGTTATCAAGTCACCAATCTTATAGTTGTTCAATTTGACAATAATTCTTCTGAGTTTTTACTTTCAATGTATTGCTTGTTCTATGCATCGTTCCAAACAGTTGTGGTTTACTATCATGTCTCCTCGTATTTGGTACCCCTGTTATTCCTGCAAAGCTGGTATTAATTTCTATTCTCTTCTTGACTTTCGGTTGGATGTGTTTAAGCTCTATTCAAAAAGTATCGGGCCAAGCTTAAATTG